TATTCTCATGAGAAAATCAACGTGTGAACATCTACAGTTTACAACTTTTCTTTTTCATCGTTCCTCTTCTTCTCACAACATACTCAAATTTTTCATCACATTTTAATAGAAATATATATATAATCTATTCAAAATAGATATATAACGAGAAAGTGAATATAATCTCTTTATTAAACTAATATTTTGACAATATAACCCTCAAGTTACGACTGACTCCCTAGCAACGGAATAACAACTCCTGATGTCATCGGCAATGACGGTGGCGCATCGTATTAGTGGTGAACGATCCGCCGAGTTTTCAAGCAAGTGACAGCGATAACCGCACACTTCATGTTGTATTCCTACGAAGGTTTTGTGGGTTGCCCATCTAGAAACTGTATGTTTTTATTGTCCTAGGGCTGCTAACTCGAGTTAACCATACCTGTGCTTCGTTTAACGGACCTGGTCTGTTAAACGCCATTTAGCTTCCCTCAAGACAGCTATAGTAGGCGCTAGCTAACGGGCCTGAATGACGAAAAATTGTTTTTCTCAGTGTATAACCCAAAAATAATATATATGAAGCATGGAAGGAGATGATAATCAAATGAACATCATCTTCCTTATGATGCCAATAATAATGGTAACAGCATCATTGTTCAGTGTCATCATCATCAACATCATCGTTCTATGATGATTAACTACGTTCAGATATTTTTTCGTTTCTATAAGCAAAACTGGCGGGATCGTCGTATTCAAAACCATTCCACCATTCGAAGATATTCCATCAACAGAAAATGGCAATATTCATGGAAGTTTGGACATCATACTCACATTTCGGTGCAATAACGAAAAATTCTCTATCAGTTTTTTGTATCTCTATTGAACGCGTTTTTTCGGCCCCGCCATGAATAACCCTGTACAGGATCCCTTTGCATGGCGAGGGCGAGGGGGAGGGGGCTACATAAAGGTGGATTAATCCCGAATATTATCGATACGGATGGTGATACATGTAGACAGCAATATGTATCGATTACACATCGGAAATTCTTTTTAGTTCCACTACCCTTTTATATCCTTCACAGGAAAATCACTGGACGTCACTAACACAAGAGAAAAATTTTGTGAACTGATGGAATGCGAACAAAAATTTCCATTACAGGGGAATCAAATATTATTAAATTTTGGTTTGGATCGGGGAGAGGGGGAATATGAACTCCTGTATCTCCGATGAATGAAAGATTTTAATCAAATTTCTGTCTTTTTCGAGGGTTTTTTTTTTAATTTGACATGTGAGGAAGGTTATCGCACATGAAAAAAGTTGATAGAAAAACCTAGCGATTTCGCTGGACAATTCTGTTGCATTTCTATTGATTATTCTATTAGTTTGTGACCGATTCTATTGGAATGTTTAATAGAAAATATTCTAGAGAAAAAATCAATCGAATTCGATTTTTCTATACAACTTGTTCTATTGAGATTTTTTTAATAGAATTTGCTCGACTGAAATTTTTTAATTTTTGTCATTCTATCTTTCTTTTCATCACGAAAATCAAACAAAAAAAATTGGAAAATTCGAGACGAGAAAATTCTATAGAAAATATCTCAATAGAATAAGTATTATAGAACAATCGAATTCTATTGACTTTTCCTACAGACTATTTTGTATTGAACATTTCAATAGAATCGGCAAAAAACGAATAGAAAGTTCAATAGAAATCCAATAGAATTATCTAGCAAATTCGCTAGGTTTTTCTATTAAATTTTTTCGTGCATGACTTGACGAGTTCGTTTGTATGCAGGGAACCTTGACGGAAATACCTGATTAATTTTGAAGCTCATGTGGTATTTAGAAGAGAATTTCTCCATTCAAATTTCGGCCAAGAGAATTGCATTATGAGATAAAATCCATCTGTCAGTTCCAATGAGCGACTGACTCGATCAGGAAATCTTTTGTTTTCCATATACATATAAACATGAAAAATTATCAGTTGAATACAGTGTTGAATATATAAAATATAAGTCGAATAGTGCAATTCTGTCGGTTGAAATTTGAAGGGGAAAAATTCTATATCTAAATATGTCAATAGAATTCGATTTTTCTATACAATTTATTCTATAGAGATATTTTTTATAGCATGTCCTCGGCTCAAATCCACGTTCCAAGTTTATTTCATTCTATTTTTCTTTTCTCTTCATCGAGAAAATCAAACAAAAAAACTTGCAAAATTTGAGCCGCATAGGAATCTAATAGAAAAGTCTAGCGAATTTGCTACATTTTCCTATTAATTTTTCTCATCCGTGATGCCATCGGCATTATCTACGCTAGGCTTATCGAAGCTCTGAAAGAATAGGTCAATTAAAAAATTTTTTAAAAAATGCATTATTTTTCTTTTTCAGTCTTACCAGAAAAACCAGTAATACTAGATCGCTGGGGTCAGGCGTTAAATCGAACTGCTGGTCCAGACGAGGAGGGAGCGGATCTCATCTTAACATGCAGAGTAACTGGAGGTAAGTTCTCACTCCATTAATCTTCTCGCCAAAAACGGAAAATTTGAAATTTAAAATAAAATAAGAGCACGAAGTTACATCGATTCCCCTCGACTTTAACCAGTTTCCGTCGCAATTCAGTGTTCAAAGAGCAGGTAAAACTCAACCCCACCACTATCTACGATGAAGAAGAGTGGCAGGACCGTTCGGTTATTAGATCAGCCAACTTTTTATCGACTCTGGTGGTAGTGATGGCGGTGGTGTAGCTAAGTGAAAAGTTTCAGGTTTCGTAGAAGCAGAATGAGTGAACATACACATAGGTATTGAGAATAATACAGCGGAAAGAGTCTGAGGGCGATGGAAAAGGGGAGAAAAAGAAAAATATTTCTCTGATGTGAATCCAAACTCGGAGAGACAGAAAGTACATGGCGTTGGTGTTTACTCTACCAACTGGATCTAAATTTCTGTTTATAAGTGTCACAACTCCTCGGAAGAGAGATTCAACTCTACTTGAACTTCAACTCTTCAGTGATTTTAATATTCTGGTGATCCGATAATTTTCGTGAGTGCACCTCAACTATTTATTCCATTGGATATCGGACGGATGAAGTGGACGGAGGATTAAATGAATATAATGTTTTGGTAGTCATCGTCATTATCAGCAGGAAGTGATGTTAGCATCGTCTGCTCTTTCATCTTCGAAAGATCATGGAAAAGACGATAATCGGTGGAAATTATGCTATCAACATCATTATCATCATCGTCATTATTTGAAAAACCCCATTATGTAGAAAACATGATGCTAATTTGCTCATCATTAGAAAATGATCTGGTTGTTATCGCCGGCTCCCTCTACATCTTCAGAGCATGCAAATGATATGTTTTTATCGTCATCATCATGATAGTCGTGATGGTGATGGCTTCATTTCCTCTTCATCTGTTGGAGATCATCGAGAATATTATGATCATGTCATCACTATTACCGTCTTTTTCATCACCATCATCATCATCATTATCATCATCATTAGGAATATCATGATAATAATGAGTATAATCTTCATCAAGACAATGATAATCATCATAATGGTGATTATGACAATGATCATGATGATGATCTTTGTGATGATAATTTCCGTTCCATCTCCTTCACATATTGGACAAATTATCATTATATTATCATCATTATCGTCTTCTTCATCATTATTCGAAAAACCTTATTGGAGTGGCAGCATCGTGTTAATTTGCTCATTCTCATCATTAGAAAATAATGAGATCGTCATCTCCGTCCACATGTTCATTTGAGATCATGCAAAAGTTCATCACGTTTTCATAATCATTATTGTGAACAATATAATAATAATAAGTGTGATCTTCAGAACAATGATGATAATCATCGTGACTGTAATGTCGTAATTTTCTTTCTATCTTCTTCAAATAAGGGAAGAGGTTATGATCGTGTGATCATTACTTATCGTATTATCGTCTTATCCATCAGCATTATCATCTTCATCATCATTATCATGAATAACATTATCATAATGGGTATAATCTTTACTGGAAGAATGATGATTATGATGATGATGACGTAATTTCCCCTCCATCTACTTAAAATCATAGAAAAAATTTATGATTATGTTATCGTCATTATCGTCTTCTTCATCATCATCAACATCATTATCGTCATTATCATCATTGTAGTGAAGATAATGATCATGTCATCGTTACCATCTTCATTCAAGGATAATTGAACCACTCCAACGATTTTTTCCTCTTCCTCTCCCTTTTCCCTTCTTCATTGTCATGAAATATTTTTGTTTAACCTACCACCTTTGCCTTAATTCTTAAGCTCGTCCTGCCGTTTGCGTTCGGAGTTACGTAGCTCTCTGCCTTAACTTCTCTCCTCTACAACTCCCTCCTCCATATTACCGGGTCTGCTCCCAAAACGCGTTGACTTTAACTGCCAGATGGAAACTCCTTCTCGAGGGCTTGGCAGACTCAGAGGCTCAAAGCTTGGCACTGGTGTTACGCTTACAACCACACTCTGGTCGTCCGGAGTAGTAGATTTTAATCCTGGTATACTGGACAATATCTCCGGGGATTAACGAATCGAGGCTACGGACGTTTCCTCACTTTAAGAGTGGGATTGACCTCGATAATCCGCATCGATCGTTGAGGCATTGGATTCCGTGAATAATTAAATCTTAAAAGTTTTTCCTCGTTAATTGGATATTTCTAACCTCACGCAGTGTCTTCTCGTAGAGAACGTGAAACTGTACCAATAACGAACGATTTCAGGATAAAATTTGGGAAAAGGGTGACGATGCGTACGAACCCAGGCGAAAACGGATGACTGTTTTCAAAGTTGAATATTTCCGAAACTATTGCAGATAATGCAGTCGGACCAACACAACACGGATGAGAAAATTTAAGGACGTTTAACCTACCAAGTGGACAACTCAGTTGAAAAGAAAATTAAAATTGGCTAAATAAATCATTCATGTTACAAATCATTTATCTCATCAAATTGGAAGTGTTATGGCGTACTTTTTCGGTCGCAAAAACAATAATTGGAGAGAATGTTCAGAAATAATGGAGGACTTGTGACTGCAGTGGTAAAGTCGAATTTTGACTAGTAGTGGCTAGTAGTGGGGTTGTAACAGTGGGATGAATTATCGTCACTGAATTATCGTCACCGACTTTACCGACCTCGATCAGCTGTTGTGCGGTGTTGTCGCGTTGCTCGACTCGTAATGGCGGTTAAAATTTTTTTAGAGGAATTCGAAAATCAATCGAAGATATCACGCCTATTTGACCCGGTCCCCTACTTGTTCTCGCCAGCGATAGATTCTCCATAGTCTAAAGTAAATGGCTTGTGGTTTTTTTTCAATATCTTTAGTGTCTAACCCATGCAACTTCTGGATAAAAGTTCACGCGGTCACTTCTTCCCTAAGCGTAATGTTACAAGAAGTGATTTTCGGATATTAATTTCTCACTAGGCTGCCCCGTGTGGCTCAAATATGAACCTGGCATATGAGACAATATCAAAATTATGATGTTCAATATGGATTTTAGCTAAACATCCTTAATAGAAAAACCTAGCGAATTTGCTGGACAATTCTATTGGATTTCTATTGAACTTTCTATTAGTTTTTGGCCACTTCCATTGAAATGTTCAATAGAAAATATTCTACAGAAAAAGTTGAAAGAATTCGATTTTTCAATACAACTTATTTTATTGAGATATTTGCTATAGAATGTCCTCGGCCTCAATTTTCCAAGTTTTTTTTATTTCATTTTTCTTTTTTTTTCATCAAGAAAATTGAACAAACAACTTGGAAAGTGAAGTTCTCATGACTTTATTGTGGCATTAAAATCATATTATAATTCAGTAGGGAAGTGGTAAACCGGTTTAAGTCGACGTATCTCCCAGTTGAGTTTTTGAGGAATATTTCCGAATCTAAGGGAGATAGCCAAATTTTCGTAATTATATTTGTTGCAGCGCTCAATCGGCTCTACAAAAAAGGTCCTGACGAAAATTTTGCTATCTCCCTTAGATTCCGAGATATCCATTGACTGGTCAACAGTCAAAATTGATTTGTACTGTTTTACTCCTTCGCTACTGAATTTTTCAATCATGTACTAATTATATAAATGACATTTTGGAATCAATTTCTTACACGCAACTCACGATTGCTTGCAGGAACTCCACCTCCCAGAGTCAGATGGACGGTCTACAACACTAGGATCGATGTGTACGTCAAGAGTTCTGCAGATGTCATTGAGAATAAGTAATATCAATAATTCGTGAATTCATTGAGGAATATCGATGCAGTTCTGAACGAATGATTCATTTCTTATTCAGGTTGACGATGAGATCTCTGAGGAGAGCTGACCTGGGTATGAATTTCACGTGTGAGGCCATGAATACTGATCTAGTCGAGCCAACGAGAAAGACTGTAACACTCGATCTTATCCGTAAGTTATTTAATGATTCAAATTGAAATAAGAGGGATAAGTCACAAAAAGCGTCTTATACCTTCATGTCTTAATGGGGTTAATGTGTTGACGTAGTTAAAAACATTTTAAGCATCTGCGGGACAAATGAACAATGAACAATTAATGTTTTTACACTAATTATTAAGGCGATGTAAGGTAACGTTGGTGGCCAATGTTGGCACAATATTCAATGCAATGAATCATTGAATTCAATTTAAAATACATCGTCACAGAATTTCCATTCAAAAGCAAATTGTTAATTTATTATAAAAAATATATTAGCAATATTGTGATGAAAGCAATTTCGCCCTCATTTTTCTAGGTATTGAAGACATTAGTTTTCAACCTGATGCTGACTCAAACAGCATTTTATCTACACGGAAAGAAAAATTTAATAAAAATTACGGGAAAAAAAACGTAAAAATTACGTTATTCAAAACATAATCCGCAAGCGAAGTAAAATTCAATAAAAAGTGTGGGTCGGAACTGAAATTGTATAAATCATCAGGTAAATTCTACGATTTGTTGCGTATTAACCATCCGTCTGATGACTCACCGCTGTGAGGACAACAAGTCGTTTCGAAATTTTTCCCCAACGATTGAGAAATTTTACGGAAGGGAACGTAGAAATAACTCACCAGCTTCATAAAAATTGTTAAACATTCTAGAATTTTTGGTTTTAGAGGCATAATAAGTCAGGAAGTTTCTGTAAGATTTTACTTCTTCGGGAAAAATTACGTGAGAGTTTTGTACATTGTTCGGTGATGAACCTGAAAATTCACTGAACGTTTCGGATTTCTTCTCTTTCATTCCTATAAAAACCGCCGGAAAACGATTCCCCATCGCCGATTACGTGAATTGTTCCATAATTTTTACTGAATATTTCTCTCCGTGAAGTGAATGTTGAACATTCAGAGGAATTTTGTCACAAAATTAATGTATACATTAGCATTAACAAATCAAGCACTTTATGTTCTTATCTCCCTCGAAGTACAACCCCTCGCTGAAGGGAAGAAACTAGGCGAAAGGCCTTGTTCTTATCGGTAACAAAGCGACTGTCCTTTTACCCAGCCTCTCCACTCGAAAACTTGAGTCTCAGAGATAAACAAGGTAACATTAAATACTCCCATATCTCCATCTCCAAACTCTTCACCTTTAAACTTTGGAGAGGAGAGAACAAAACGAAAATTGACGAATGAAAAATCAATCCCATGAATCAGGTGCTAACACGAGAATCGAAGTGTCCAACTGCAGACCTGTCGCGCATAAATTCTCTCATTAATTAGCAGCCATTGCATGTTAACTGCATTTAAATCAATCAAATGTCATCTGCCATTTCAACTTTATGCCGGATGAGTCCATGAGAGCGTTGAAAAATAATTGACTTGAATTGTCATTGCATGAATAGATTTATTATTTATTCATGCAGTAGAAAAATCTATTGCATGAATAGATTTTTTTCGATGATCGAAGGAAATCTTTTTTTTGCGCACGGGAGTGAACAATTTGGCACGAAAATTGTTGGTGGATAATTTGGTAATATTATAGTTTATGATCTCTTAATATTAGAAAAATCCAAATTGTCTTCTGGTGATAAAAATTTGGTACTTGAAACGAAGACTCCGAAATTAAGGGTCACAAGGGTCATGAGGGTCAGAATAAGAGTTATGAGGGTCAGAATAAAGGTTACGAGGGTCAAAGTAAGGGTCATGTGGGTTATAATAAGGGCCACAAGGGTCAGAATAAGTGTCACGAGGCTCAGAATAAGGGTTACGAGGATCAAAATAAGGGTCCAAATAAAGGTCAGATTAAGGGTTATGTATGTCAGATTAAGGGTTGCAAGATGAAGGGTCACAAGGGTCAGATTAAGGGCCCAAATAAGGTTAACAAGGTCCAGGTTAAGGGTTGCAAGATTGAAGGTCACAAGGGTCAGATTAAGGGTCTAAATAAGCGTCACAACGATCATATTAAAGGTCACAACGGTCAGAGTAAGGGTCGAAATAAGGGTCCTGGCGGTAAAAAAATAAGGGTCAGAAACTAAGGGTGATCAGGGTCAAAATAAGGTTCACGAGGGCTATAAGGAAGATCAGATTAAGAATCCAAATGAGGGTGACAAGGGTCAGATTAAGGATCACAAAGGTCAGCGTAAGGGTCCAAATAAGGGTCTCAATATCTCTCTATATTGTAAAAATCCAAATCGAGGTTTGGTGATGAAAATTTGGTGCTCGAATTTAAGACTCCAAAATCAAGGGTCAATAATGAAGGGTCACAATAAGGTTCACCAGGAGTATAATGACCGTGATAAGGGTCAGGAATAAGAATCATGGGGGTCATACAGTGAGAGAAAAATTTCCTAATACGTAAACCATATTTACTTGAGAGAAATAATTTATTTTCAACGGTTTAAATTCTCAGAATATTTACTGTTCACGGAACTCGAATGAATTCTCATTTATCTCTATCGTTGCTCATTATATCATGAATATATTGTACATCAAAATATTGGAACTGCATAACAAAAAAATAATGAAAACAATAAATACTTGTAGATTGACGATTCTTCTACGTAATTTGAGTGAGTTCATTTGCGACAAAATCATACTTAAGTACAAGAATATTTTAAAGCATTAGACCTTTCTCGGGCCACGTGAGTTCAGATGTCTGGAAGAATTAAACAATTGAAGAAAAATTACTTGTCTCAAGAAAATAAGTTTTGGATATTAGAACTTTTTTCTCTCAGTGTATGGGGTTCGGCGAGCGCAGCGCGCAGGGGGCGTAGTCCCCTAATTTGTATATAGCAGGGGAGCATGGGGCAAAATGAAACACGGGGCAAAATGAAACAGTGGAAAAATCTCGTCATCTAAAGGAGATAGGACATTTTTGAAGAGGACCTTTTTTGTAGCTTGTAAAATTCTCTACAAAAAAGGTTTTCATGAAAATCGTTCTATCTCCCTTAGATCACAAGATTTTCTTGCTGTTTCATTTTGCCCCGTGTTTCATTTTGCCCCACCGTCCCCTATATGATATATTTTGTTATACTTTAATTTTTTCAACTGTAAAAAAGTTTATATAGTTCTGACAACAAAAAACACCGAGTTTTCCAAGCAAACAAAAAAAACCATTCCATTTATTTTTTAAATATCTCCAAAACCAACAGGTTTATTGAAAAATGCCAAAAGACTTGTTTGTATCCATGAAACCCCCAATAAAGCTCTTTTGACAGATTTCCCAATTTTCCCTTCCTTTCTCACCGTCCTTCCCGAATATTTGCACAATAATCCAAATCCATCCCACTCCACTTTTTTCCTATTCCAAACTCAAAAAAAAAGAACCCTCGACCACATTTTATTCGCTCCAAATCAATTATATTTCTGCCTGCATTCACTCCTGTCCCCTCAAACCAAACTACCCATACCAGAATAAAAAAATCCTAGATAGGAATAAATTGGCGCAAGGCGTGTGAATGAGAAAAATGTGAAAAATTGCAGTTTTATCGAGGAGAGTCTATGTCCCGTTATAACCGTGAATATATACGTTATCCTCTGCGGTGTGCGCGTATAAGCAACCGCACTCGTAGTTTTCATATTTCACGCCCCAATGGATCGTATCTGGGAATGCTGCTGGCCAATTGGAAAGCCGGATTTATCGCGCTAACGGCCCCCCTTCCCCTCACCGCCACGTCAACGCTATCGTCGCAATATCTATCCAAATTGAAAACAATATCGACGGTATCATCCCTTTTCACTTTCAATCCCTTTACCCCATGCTCACCTCACACCGCTGGTCTTTTTTTATTTTCTCCTATCGGTGGTTTGTTCGCCTATTGTCACAGCTGCAGATATATATTCCGAGCAAACACTCGGTGGGAAAATTTTTATCAGCGGTAATGAAGCCCGACCCCCTTTTTTTGGCTTCATGAATAATTAAAGTCTTTATGAACATTTTTGCATTACGGTAATTGCGCTATTTATTATTATTTTTATTTTTCTACGCTGTGAGAATGAAAAAGGGGCGCTCTTGAATTGGAGATCGTGGATGACTTGTGATTTTAATGGGCTGGCAAGACTTTTATTTTCGAGTTACGGCGATATTTTTATTACAAAAAATGTTATGAAATTTTCTATACTTTTTTTCTATACTATACTATATTGATGGATTCGATTTTCAGGTATGGAAGTCTTATCAATTGGTTTTGATTCGATGGAGTAGAGGTAATGGATCATTGAATAACTGAATTATTCCCTTCACATCCACAAAACTTTGTGTTATTGTTAGGTCATGATCTCGCAGTAAATACACGGAGAGAAATTCTTTGGAAAAATTCGAATTCGAATGCTGGAAAAAATCACAATGGACCGTCTGAAAAATTCTAGTGCTGTTAAGATAAAATTCCCAGGGCTTTCTGATAAAATTTCTGGGATTTCAGTGAAAAATTCAGTTAAGGATATCCAAGTACTTTGGCCATTTTTTCACCAAAGAAATGCTCTTGTAGTTTTGTAGTCGAATATCAGAGCTTTCGTTCGATTTCTATTTAACTCCAACTTTCCGGACATTTTGCAATGATTCTATTATTTAATCTTTGCAGTTCTAAATTTGAATCTCGATATTGAACCGTTAGAAAACATTTTCAAAATGTGAAAAAAAAATAGGAAGTTTACTTTCGGATGAAAATTAATGAAATAATTTAAAGAGCGCAATTTTTGCCAATTACGAGCATTTTTTGTGAATAATTTATGAATAATCAATTTTCCACCATAAAAATTTTTATCAGCGGTAATGAAGCCCGACCCCCTTTTTTTGGCTTCATGAATAATTAAAGTCTTTATGAACATTTTTGCATTACGGTAATTGCGCTATTTATTATTATTTTTATTTTTCTACGCTGTGAGAAAAAGGGGCGCTCTTGAATTGGAGATCGTGGATGACTTGTGATTTTAATGGGCTGGCAAGACTTTTATTTTCGAGTTACGGCGATATTTTTATTGTAAAAAATGTTATGAAATTTTCTATGTCTGGAGGTTAGTATTGAAGGGAGGGGAAGTAGATGTAAAAACCATTTTTTCCACGCACGAAAGAATTTCGTGGAAAAACTCAGTGAATTCGGTAGAAAATTCTATCGGATTTCTACTGAACTTCCGTTGAAAATTCTGTTAGTTTCAGGTTATCAAGTGTCCATTTTACACCCAGAGCAATGCTCTGAAAATAACTGGTTCACCTTTTGAATCATGAATATATATCTGTGCTGTTGATAGAATGACCTGAGATGTGAGTTTTGCTGTTTAAAAGATCTTCGATCAGTGCACCAATTTTCTTGTCATTTCTTATGATTCTAGTGAAACCTTTGACAGTGAACATCAGGAGACCTGGCAGCATCGCCGACGAAGGGAAGAACGACTCATTACAGGCGAAACGTCGTTACGACCTCGAGTGTGAGACAACAGGATCAAATCCTCCAGCGATAATCACTTGGTACAAAGGAAAACGGCCTCTTAAGCACGTGAGGGTGAGTACCAAAATTCCTCCGAATTATTCAGGAGCTTCTTGGAGGATTTATTCACATTAACATAGCGTAATCAACCTCCTCCATTAATTCACTCGTAGAGTTGGATTAAAAACATTAATTATTGAGCAAATAATCCTGGATGTTCCGGTGTTTCTCATCGCTTTGAAATTACTATTTGGTATTTTCTCGAGGAAATTGGGGGAGGATAATAATCCCTGGGAACAAAGCATTAGTTTAGTGAATAAGTCAATAATTCTCTCTGTTTAGGGATATCCAAGTAGTTTGGCTATTTTTTATTCAATGAAATGTTTTTCTCCTTTTCTACTGTAGAAAATAATTACTTCTTCTTGCGGATAAATTATTGTTTTGTTTATTCTCAATCAACAAACATTAGTCTTCGACAAAAAAATGAAAAATTTTATTAGCTTGGTTAGAAACATCGATGTTTGGAAAAAAGAATCGAAAGTCGATTCTTTTCGGCCGTTCAAAACATCGAATGAAAAATATCGATATTTGGGCATGAAAAATCGATGTTTTCGATTAATCGACAAACATCGTCCATCCCTAAATCCAATAATTTCGAACACAAACATGGTCGAAATAGATAGAAAATTTGTAATTGAAATATCGTTTTTTTTGTTCAGCTATTGGTTTTCTGTGAAAGAACAATAGATTCCCCTACGTTTAAAAATACCCTGGCGGATCTGTCGAATGTAGAATCGAGTTGATCAGTATATCGATTCGTATGCGAGTGTAGTTCGATTCAGATCTCAGATTATTGATGGAATCGAAGATGAATCGACTTCATAGGAAGTCGATAGCTAGTGAATTTCGAATTACAAAAATTTATTACACCAAAACTTGAACGACTCATGGGGTGGTCGCTTATTAAAGACTCCTTACGGTCGGATCAGGATCGACTTGAAGAAAGTCGATTGTGACTCGATTGCCAGCATATTATTCACATCAATCGACCCACAATCGACCAGTTGTTGAGTCGTTTCATATAAGTGAATAATATGAAGTCAATCGAGTAATAATCGACTCAAGGATCAGTCGATTCGCCCACTGGAATTATGAAAACTATTATGAACCGACTAAACAACTAGTTGATTGTGTGTCGATTGACTTGAATAATGAGGACAATCGATTTACAATCGACTCAAGGAGCAGTCGATTCTCCCACTGAAATTATGAAAGCTATTATGAAACGACTAAACAACTGGTCGATTGTGGGTCGATTGACTTGAATAATGAGGACAATCGAGTCACAATCGACTTTATTCAAGTCGATCCTGATCCGACCGCAAGGAGTCCTTTATAATCGACCACCCCCTGAGTCGTTCAAGTTTTGGTGCAATAAATTTGTGTTATTCGTAATTCACTAGCTATCGACTTCCCATGAAGTCGATTCATGTTCAATTCCATCAATAATCTGAGATCTGAATCGAACTACACTCGCATACGAATCGATATACTGATCAACTCGATTCTACAATCGACAGTCGATCGAATCTCAATCGAGGGATCCGCCAGGGTACCGCAAGTTTCTCTTTGAATTGCTATATCGAGGCAAATTCATGATCGACTTCATAATTATTCATCATAATTCATTGAATCACTTGTACTAATGATGAGAGATACTTGTGTAGAAGGCCCGAGGGAATATTATTGGAATGATGATAACTAAATTGGAAGTGTGACCATTACGATTCACATGTGACTAGGCTAATGATCCACGTGTGTTTGCCAATGGGAGTACTTGTCAGAATCCGGTATTTTCCGAATGGATAATTACGTAATCATGAAATCCAGAGGGAAATTGATGGATTCGATTTTCAGGTATGGAAGTCTTATCAATTGGTTTTGATTCGATGGAGTAGAGGTAATGGATCATTGAATAACTGAATTATTCCCTTCACATCCACAAAACTTTGTGTTATTGTTAGGTCATGATCTCGCAGTAAATACACGCAGAGAAATTCTTTGGAAAAATTCGAATTCGAATGCTGGAAAAAATCACAATGGACCGTCTGAAAAATTCTAGTGCTGTTAAGATAACATTCCCAGGGCTTTCTGATAAAATTTCTGGGATTTCAGTGAAAAATTCAGTTAAGGATATCCAAGTACTTTGGCCATTTTTTCACCAAAGAAATGCTCTTGTAGTTTTGTAGTCGAATATCAGAGCTTTCGTTCGATTTCTATTTAACTCCAACTTTCCGGACATTTTGCAATGATTCAATTATTTAATCTTTGCAGTTCTAAATTTGAATCTCGATATTGAACCGTTAGAAAACATTTTCAAAATGTGAAAAAAAAATAGGAAGTTTACTTTCGGATGAAAATTAATGAAATAATTTAAAGAGCGCAATTTTTGCCAATTACGAGCATTTTTTGTGAATAATTTATGAATAATCAATTTTCCACCATAAAAATTATTTGCTTGGAATCGTAACAAATTTATTCATATTTATAATTTTACCAGATGATTTCATTCCTAAAAAATGCAATTTCCGAAAGTTTGAAGAATTTCAATTATTTATTTATAAACAACAAATGTTTAAAAGAATAATACTTCTGTGCAAAATGTAAAATGTACTTAGATATTCTCAATGACAGGGTATGATTCATACACATAAGAATTGCACACATTTAGGTTTTTGCACAAATGTAAAAATCGAATAAAACGTGAACATTAGATTCTTTAATGTACACATCAAATTCAGTCACAAAATATTGAAATCTCGAGTGTTCCCAAATTATATCAGTATACCAACTCAATTAATTGTATCATTTCGAACAGAATTCAATCACTAATATTTCCTTTCTCAATAATCCTCACAACTATTAAAATTTCACAATTTGAAATCCATACTATTTTCTAATCCAAAATTCGCACTTTAATTATTTTCTCTTGAAGAGAGAAAAAAAGGATAGGACTACATGTCTTTCCCTTCCTGAACAGTTTAAACTAGTATAAACACATTTAATTTTAAAGATTAAAATCTGAAACAAAGGGTCACATGAAAGTTAATATGAATATAGAAATTCTGATTGCGTTTCTGTTCAATTGACAACCTAGTATCATTGATAAAAGTTATTCCCTCGAAAAATTGGTCCCCATTTTCTTCCCAAAACTTTTGTCCAAGAGCATTTTCCAATGGAAGCCATATTATCAGAATTAATTATTTTAGAGATGGATCGTTACGCAATTATGGAAATGAAGGGGAAACTAATGGACTCAGTTTTTAGGTTCGCAGCTTTTATCAATTAACTTTAATGGAGGGTAGGTGACGGTACTACGGAATGAGTACATTATCTCATTCGTATCCATGAAATTTTGATAATTCTGAAGATATTTCTATCACTACTGCACGTATTTGTAGAAAACCATTTGAACTGTACTCATGCTGTTTCTCGGGGAGAAGAGAATCTACTTTACGTTTAATAGCTTTCGACCCATTTTATGATACTCATCATCGAGACTATATTTACCCGCATTTAAGGTATATCCCTGGAAAACACGTTTTTCTCAAGTTTTCCCCATGTTTTTCATAGATAATGCTTATAATATTCCCCAGCTATTGAAAAAAATTCTAACTAGTTGTACTCCGCAATTTAGGAGATAATAAATAATGAATTATGGGCTTCTACGGGCGAGGGATAAACCAAACGGGAGTTATGGATCCCCTGAACTCCATTTTTCCATTTTATGAGAAAACGAATCTTACGATGTTCTTAAAAAACTAATCCGTGATAGACTGAGGAATTCTGAATACGGTGCATTTTTTATAAAATTTTGAATTAGATAGTGTTTGCGATATCCTTCTACACGGAGAAAAAAATTCCAGAATTTTTCAGGCGAAATTCAGGCAAAAATTACCGTGCCGTCTGGTAAAGTGGGTTCAATTGTCTAGCACCAGAAAAATTCCGGTGCTGCATAGTAAAAATTCCGGTAACGCACAATAAAAGCTTGATCCCTGACTGTTTTCTATTACATGATAAATTTCATTCAATAGTTAAAAATGAGTAAACATTGTCATTCAGCATATCATCCTATTAATTTTATTTTAACCTCTCCTCCATATCCTCTCTCCCATATTAAAAGCGGAATGCGCGGCAAACGTATGTGGAACGTTTGACAGGCCAATGTATATCTACAGCGTTATACACCTCATGAAGCGAAAATAAAGGGCACTTATTTTATTTCTTAACCGTTTTATCACAACACTAATTAATATTTCACTGAATTGATATTATGAAAAACATTAACCTGGGGTTTCAGTAAGGAGATATGTGAGAGAGGAGGCTAGAGGAGGCGACGGAATAAATCATCTGGTCACGTTGAGTCGATGTTCGTGGTTGCGGAGGGGGGACGAAGAGTACCGAAATCTTACGAATGCGCGATCGGGTCCTAGGATTCTGGTAGAGCACCGGAAAAATTTGCCAGTCAGTGTCATAATTTTTCTCGTATTTCTCGTAAAAATTCACTGTCGCTTCGATTTTACCGTGCTGCACAAGAATTTTTCCCCACATTTATCCGAAAAATGACTCGTGCAACAGTACTTTTTCCTACTCTTTGCGGTACATTTGGCCTGGAAAGACCATCTGAACCAACTTTACTGTGCGGGCACGGTAATTTTTCTCGTAAATTTCTCTCCGTGTATATTATAAAAATCCAAATCGACTTCTGGTGATGAAAATTTGGTACTCGAAATTAAGACTCAAAAATTAAGGGTCACAAGGATGAAAATAAGGGTTGTGAGGGGCAGAATAAAGATCATCAGGGTCAGAATAAGGGTCACGCGGGTCAGATTAAGGGTTATGTCGGTCAGAAATTAAGGGTCACAAGGGTCAACATAAGGGCGACTTCTGATGATCACAATTTGGTACTCAAAATTAAGACTCCAAAATGAAAGATCACAATGGTCAAAATAAGGGTCACGCGGGTCAAATTAAGGGTTACAAGCATCAGATTAAGAGTCATATGGGTCAAATGA